TAGTCGAGCAGTCTCGACTGGAGCTTTCTTACTTGTTTTTTTAAATGGTTTATAAATACATATATATGTATTAGGAGACCTGGGGCATTTCCGTGTTAACTGAGAATTTTCAAGTGCTATAATAGTGCCTTGAAATTTGAAATATAGGGAGGCGTTGCAAATTATGTTGTTTTTAATGTCGACGGTTAGTCGATGGCAATGTTCTTACTTATTTTTCTGAGAAATCTTGAGTGATATTTAGAGTCAATTTGTTCTGTTAAAACGATTTATTTATTTCAACGCTTATATTAAAAATTTGCATTAACAATGTTTATCGAATATAATTGTATGGGTAATTGTTTTCATTCAATATATGTTTAAGTGCACTTAGTTTTCATTATTTGTGTGTGTAGAGTGGGTATCCAAGATCCTGTCAGTTACAGCTTTTCTCTAAAAATAGGATGTGACATCAATGGGAGAAGAATTGAATGATGATATGTCGTAAATCTGCATAGGAGTTATAGACATCGAGATAGATATAGATGCGTTCATTTTGTATTGTTACATTATCCACCAGTGGCGTTTAAGTCTGTTTCTAGGTTTTAGCTCAGGATGCTATAAAAGATTTTTGTAAACGGAGGACAAAGTCGGGAAGCATGTCAACGGAAGATTTTGAAATGGAAGTCAAAGTTTGTGTTCAATTGAACTGCTCACAGTAGAACCGCACATAATTATCAACGGATCATATCTTTCGATTTAAAATTTGGTTTAAGTTGCCTTGGAAACGTAAATATGTGTACTGTTTTCTTATATTCTCGTTATTCAATATTCGATTTATCTATTATAGTAAGCCAATGTGATAATGACCAATTGTTATCTTTCATATTAAGAAGCAAGGGGATCTACACAATCTCAATTCACGCTACTGATAGTCGACGGAGTCGCTGTCCAGCAACGTCGAGGACACTTCCGAGATGCGTCTATGCCAGTAGTCCTGATAGCGCGATTCGGGTTGTGCAGCAGAGCGCCACGGTGGCCATTTCAGCTATTCCTCAACAATGTCCCACACCATGAGCGAAGCGTCTGTTCCGCCCACAGTGATGAGCGTGTGATCCCCGCACAGAAAACGCACGCAGGCCAGCATGCCGGAGTAAACCTTGCACTCGTGGAACTCGGCGCGCGGTGAGATGCACGGATATCTGTTAAAGCCAATTGATTATAGATTATCACATATTGTTAAGCGCTGTGTATCTTGTCTCACCTGAACAGCCGCAGGTATCCCTCCGCATCGCCCGATGCGAGCATATCGTGAGCCGCGGAGCGACAGCAGGTGGCTATGATGGTGTTGGCGTTGCCGTAGTAGCGATTGCTCCATTGACCAGCCACCAGGAAGCCCACGGTGCAATTGTTCGTTAGCCACTTAACATCTTTCATGGCAATGGGACTTCGCTCCGGGGACAGAGACTTCGCATCCCAGAACAGCAGATCAAAGTCAATGGTCACTGTCTGCACGAAGTTCCCGTCCATGCTCCAGTCCAGATGCGTCAGTGGCTGGGAGCCGCGTATCTTGTTGACTTTCTTGTAGGAAAACCCATCGCGCGAGACACGGAACAGGTAAATGCTTCCATTTTGCGATCCCATGGCAATCATGTCGCCGACTGTAGCACAGACTTGGCATAGAGTATTTGCATAGTGGGGATAACTGAGCACACTTACCCTGGTTAAATGACACGCAGTTCAAAGGTGAGCCGCATACACGCAGCGTTAACATAACTGCTCCGTTGTCGCAGTTGATGACCAGCAGGTGGCCTTCGGTGCTGCCAGCAGCCAGTGCCGTGCCAAACGGGTGGAAGGCCAGTGCCACGCACTCATAGCCCGTTTGTATGGTCCAAATGAGTTTGTTCTTGCGCCAGAGCGCCACGTGCTTGTCATGGCCGGCCGTGGCATAAAGCTCGTCCTCGGGGTGGGCGGCGAGGCCCCAAAGTTGTCTGCCGTGGCCGAAGACAACCTGCGTGAAGCGCCGTTGCAACGAGCCCTCTAAGATGTTGTTTCTTGTCGTTCCCACGTAGATGTTGCCATCATTTCGGCCTGGTCGCTGGGGATAAATTGTCCTCACTCCACCGGCCGCTTCGGGTAGCTGAGGTGTCACATCGATTAATGTATATACATATATACGTGTATTTAGATTGTAAGGGCGACTTCCTACCTTTGTGTCCGCAATTTTTTTGTAATTTTGCAGCGAGTCCCAAGCTGCAATTTTGCGATCCTTTTCGCCACCTGACAGCAAAGTTCCCTCGCCCAGCATAATCAGGCAGCCGATGCCCTTATTGTGGGCCTCAAACTCGGTGCGCACAAAGTATGCGCCATCGGAGTCCACGGAGTATATGGTAATGAAACCATCAGAATCGGCGGTAATCACATCGCCATCCGGCTCGAATTGCACGCTGGTAACGTGGGAGCGCGATGGCTGCTTCACAATATCAGTGCGCTCAAAGAAACCATCCTTACGCCGGTGCCAGAAGGCCAAATGACCGCGGCCATGGGTGATGATGAGATTATCATCCAGGGGGTGGAAAGCAGCGCCCGAAAGGCCTTCCTGCAGGGTCTGCAATTGGAGTAAAGCAATCGACAATCAATGAAGAATCTAGAAGGGGTAAGGCATGTTCGCCACTTACGGCCACTTTGCCCAGCAGGTGGCCCCATTGCCATTGCCAGACGGACAGGATGCTCTCGCGACCGCTGTCCACGGCCAGTATATAGCTGCCTCCATTCTGAAAGGCAATTGGATTATGTAACTTGGGCTCCATTGGATAGGGCTTCAAGGGGCTTACCAATTGGGAGAATGCTACTGCGGTAACTCCCGTATCCAATTCGCCCATGCCGAAGACGTAGAGGGTCTGCAGTGACTCGGTGCTCCAAATGCGGACATGCGCCTGAGACTTACGATCGCGTCCAGCCTTTTGACCCGATGCCACCAATTCCCGAGACGGATGCACGTCCATGCTGTGCAACAACATGGGAGATGAGACAACCATAGTTGAGATCTGAAATAGTCAAACTTACCACATGATGTCCTCCGTGTGGCCTATGTAGTGGCGCTGTGCATCCTCGTCGCGATCGAATAGGACGGCCACGGCAGCTACGTAGTAGAGCAGCTCTCCGCTTGGCAGTACCCAGAGATTGCGGCGCGCATCGATTCCTCTGTAGCCGTGTCTATCGAAAGCCAAACAGTGAGTGAATGAATGAGCAAATGCTGCGTTGGCATGGAGCTTATGGCATAAATGTATACTCACACCCACTGGAGCTGTAGTTTTTTGTCTGGTGGCGAGTTTTCAGCCGGTGCATGGTGCACGGGGGGATAGAAGGTGCGCCTCAAACCCCGTATGGTCACCTTTGTGGGCTCCTCTTTCATGATGTCCAGCATGGTGTACTCTCCGTTCGGCCGAAGAATCTCACTCTCTGGGGCATAGAGGATTCGCGGCCGGCTCTTGCTCCTAGGTCGCGTACCACGCAACGGCACCTTTGGCAGCTCCTCCGTGGAGAGTATGGGGGCCGCAGCAACCACCGAAGGGCGTGAGCGCGAGCGTCGAATGGGCGAGCCAGCAATCAAGGCCGTCCCAGTGGCCAAATAGAATGTGTCTACGTCGGCGAACTCATTGCGTAGCTGCGAAAAACTGCGAACCTGCCGGCCCATAGAGCAGCAACAGCAGGTTGCAAATGTGCGAAATTTAGCAAGGTTTGTAATATTTCACGTCTTATATTATTTTATGCTAATT